AGGAACCCTTCTCCACTGCTGGTGGGAATGCAGACTGGTGAAACCACTGTGGAAATCAGTTTGGAGATTCCTCCGAAAACTAGGTCTAGAGGTCCCATTCAACCCAGCTATCCCCCTGCTGGGTATTTTCCCAGAAGATCTAAAAACATCATGTCGCAGTGATATATGTGCCCCCATGTTCATAGCGGCGCAATTTGTAATTGCTAAATTGTGGAAGCAACCCAAATGTCCATCCATGGAGGATTGGATAAGAAAATTGTGGTACTTTTATATAATGCCATATGTCTTTTAAGGGGCAAAATACCCTCCCGTTGAGAACCAGTGGCCTATAGCACTAGGAAGTCTTGTTACCAGTTACTATATAGTTTAGAGCATGAACGTAGTGAGAGCTTAATAAAAGTGAGGTGTGGTTAAAAAAAAAAAAAACTTGCGACCTCTGTGGCATGATGGTGGAGGTTTCAACAGGCTACATTATAAGAAGGGAATTAAGTTTGTTCCACATATCCAGCCACTCGACCAGGATAACTTCATAATATTGAAAGAGGCGCTAAAGCCTTGCACTCACATGCTCAGCAGACAGACAGACTAAAGCGAAAAGTGGGTTTAGTCAGTGCCTGCCTGGCCTTATTTAAGTCCCTTGATCTTTCAGAGCCTCTTCCATGAAATGGATAGAGTTAAAACCTCCTTATCACCATTTGCTATGGCTAAATAAGTCAAAACATAGCAAATAACTGCCACAAAGTAAGCACTTGGTATATGGAGGACTTTTATCATCAGTACATTTTTATTCTACTTCCTTCAGTGGAGCACCAATGGAGTCCTTTCGAGGCAGTGTGTTGTTAATTCTTTGGAAAAAGCTCACCAGCCTATGTGCAAAATAGAGCCTTTCCCAACCAGATAAAACTGAAAGCTAAAGCAGAGCACCAACACCAGGGCAGGAAGGGAACCACTTGGAAGAAGAAAAGAACAGAGTAGTAATACGTAGACATTTTGCTTACACCAGCAAGATTCAGCTAAGAAAATAAATCACTGACTCTTGAACCTGGACATTATCCTATGTTTTAGTAGAAGAGAGAATATTTACAATAAAACGTATGAAATAGAATGTCATAGATACCTTAGAGAGTAGCTAGGAAAAGAAACTCTGGAGACAAATGTTTGGCTTCAAACCTGAGTTGACCACCTTTCCTCTCTATGCCTATTTCTTCATCTATTTAATGGTGATAATGATATCTTACTTCATAGAGTCATTGTGAAGAGTAAGGTGATTACTCTATGTAAACTATGTCACATACTGACTGGACTGGCCCATAGTAACTACCATATAAGTTATTATAACTGTAGCATTATTAGAGCATTACTTCTGGGGAAAGTACTGGAGAAAACATTTCTTGCAGAAAGTGATATTTAAGTGGACTTGGAACAATGGAATTATTTCTGTAACTCGACTCTTGGATATATATATTACAATGGTTTTTGCATAATCTGATATTCAGATAACAGTGTGGAAATTGTCTGCCTTAACACATAGTCTTATATAGATTCTCAAAGAATGTATAAGCTGACTGTGTATACTACTGACCAGTATCAGAGTAAAAATTTCACATTAGGTGAAATCTGTTTATATGTGTGTTCTTAACTAAATAAAGTTACCCTGACATGAATTAAAACTGTCATTCAATGCCGAATATTTAAACATAGGGAAAAGAAGATGTGAGAAGACTAATTGTACCAAATCTAGGACTAAGTGGACACACCCTTATGTTACTCAGATGGTTTGGTCTAAATGGTTGATATTCACATAAAAATAAACAAGTACAGAACAAGGCATTAAAACAGCCAGAAAATACATATTAACTGCTAATCCCAAAGCACAGTTGTTTAATGGGTGAGAGACAACAGAAAATGGAATTGTCATGGTATTTCCTGTTAACTGAGGGAAGCCTGATCATGTTTGGTTTTGACGGTGTGCTGTAGCAAACATCAGACATTTTGGGGGAGTGCAGTACATAGCATGGTGATTCTGAGCACAAGCTATACATTTGGACAGTCTAGGGAGGAGCCCAGTCTACCTTTATCAGTGTGTGCAATATGACTTCTTTTTCCTGTGCATCAGTCCCCTTAGCACCTAATCTGTGAGGTCCCTGGGGTCATGCTAATATCTATCACAACAGGGATGGAGAGGATTAAGTGAGAGAACGTTAAGGAATTTTCTGAGTGTGGTGGCACATGCCTGTAATCCCAGCACTTCGGAGGCTGAGGCACAAGGATCACTGCAAGTAATCCAAGCCGGGGCTACAAAATGAGCTCAAGGCCAGCTTGAACTGCATAGTGAGAGCCTGTCTCAAAAAGACAAAAAAAAAAAAAGGAATTACTGTGGGGCACATAGGAAGAACTCAATAAATGTTAGCTCTTTTTTTAAAAATTAAAACTATCATTGGCATATATTAAAAAAAAACTGAGACTCTTTATCCCCACAAACATCATTCCTTAACTGAATATAGTTCATTTTTCTACAGTAAAATATCTTCTTTACATCAATTTTTTCTTAGACCTTTCTATTTGTGTATCTCGTCATTTGCCTACCTATCTACCTACCTACCTACCTACCTACCCACCTTTAAACTCTTGCTATAAATTTACCTGAAAAATTCCAAGGAGAAATCACATAAGCAATGACAGGCACATGACAATATCATTTTTAAAAGACACTTTTATTTTGCTACATAGTTCATTTTAATCTGAAATAGTGAAAATAAGATATTTTTCAACATATGCAAGTCTGTGTACCAATCTCATTATCACAGAATATAAAAATATAAAAATATAAAAAATGTGAGAAAAAACCATAATAAGACCTTTAAATGTTAAACAGTATGCTTTATACTCCAAAACTGTCTTTTCTTTCCTGTTTTTTGAAAGAATTAAAATATTCAATTTTAATAAGTTCATATTTCACAAAACACACCTTCTACTGATGGAATAAGCCTTTTTCTTTACATTCTTTTAGATAGTACACAAAAGTTTACTATGAGTCTATACTGACAGTAGGAAAAAGGACAATTAGAAAACTTGCAAGTATGTTTTCTATTTACACATTGTAAAGATGAATTATCTATAGTTAAGAAAAATTTTGACACAGTAGTCATGACTGTGTTTTATTAATTTTATGTCTAAATTATTTTTATGTTCAAATACAGCAACATGCACTTTTATTTTTATGTCTAAATTATTTTTATGTCTAAATTATTATTATGTCT